TCTATAATCAATCATACATATCAACTCTTTGATCTTAAGTTATAGTACTTTAAAACAATATCATTACATCTGCGCTCTTCTGAACTCTTCACCGAACCAACAAACACTCCGAGTAAATAACCAACAAAAGGGTAAATATCTGTTATAATTAACGGTGTAAGACTTCATAACAAGAGTAATTATGTTCCACAAATAGCTTTCATCTACAATGAAAACTACAGCCACGCAACATACTTTTGTAAACAAAAACAATTATGAAACGCCTATAATTATGCTTGCAATTATTGAATAATTAAACGAAAAACTTCATTTTTAAAGAAACCCACTCGGTTTCATTTAAAATGGATTTAATCACTTCTTAAATTTAAGCTGATAAACATGCGATGATGATGGTTAATTATGTAGTATATAACTTCATTTTATTATTGATTAATTAAATAAATTATTTATTAATTGCATTACATTTAACCGTAGTTGATTAAAGAAAGGTTTTTGTGCGATTTTGTGCTAAGAACAATGACGAAAGTTAATTTTGTGAACTTTGTGGTTAATTGAAAATTGATGACTGTTTGAAAAGTTTTACAAAACAAAAACCAAATTTAACCAAAATAATTAAAATTGCCTTTAAAATTTATTATTATACATAATATTTATTTTTAGTATCCTTTCAATTTTTATATACAGCACAGACATTTTCATTGACTTTAACATTTCGTTGCATTAAGATTTTAACATATCAATTGTGGTTAATTGCATCTGGCATGAAATCTAATTAAAATTCCAATAAACCAAATGATTGAAAATATCCATTGGTAATTAAGTTATCGGCCAGCCAGCAAGCCAATCAAATTTACGATTTACTTCATAACATGCTTAGATGTTTCTGCGAAGCAATGAAGTTAATGCATGTGTCAATTGACATTAGTAAACAAATATGAAATTCATATTCTATTTACTTATTAATGGAGACTCTAGTAGTATGTAAGGTTATGGCTCGCCTAGAAGTATGCAAAGATAATGTAAACAATTTGCTCTATTGACAAGGCAAGCAATGGTTAAGTTTACACATTTTGTTTACAATCGTTGAAATTTTATTACAATTTCGTTATTATTAAATTTATAAAGAAAACTAAATTTAATTTAGTTACAGGTTAAATAAGCGTAGACTGTTGATATGCTAATTTTGGAATGTTATGCATAATATTATTTTATCAAATAATGCGTAACTAAATAAATTACATTTAATCGGAAGACTTGCTACAAATTTGTTTTTAATCTTGATATTAATATTATTAGAATTAGTAAGGAAAAATATTTCTAAAGTTATTTCTGAAATAATACATTTTATAATTGTAAATATATATATATATTTTGTATTATAAATTTACTAATAAGTATATAAAATTAATATAGCGTTAATGCGCTATATTAATTAATTAATATATAAATATTAATTATATGCTTTGTTTTTAACCAATTTCTAATTTGTGTTTTATATAATAATATAAATATTAATAATATAATATAAACTAGTGGCATGATTTTAATGAGACCGAATTTCTATCAGCATATATAGCGTACTTTGGTTTTTGCAGCTACGTTTGTAATATAAACTATTTACATTAAAATTTCTATTCCCATTAATCAATAACAATAAAAATTAATAACAAGAACAATTGCTATAAACAACCACCAACATTACAAAATCATAAACAATAACAAAAATAGAATAATAAAAATAATAACAGAATTTAGTACTACAAAATGGTAAATAAATTCGCGTATAATTACACTAAAAAAACAATAGCGCATATTGCATTTCTCAGGTACAGAAGACGCAATAAAAATGCAATCTGGACAGTCAGCAGCGTCTGATATCCAGATTATTCCAATAAGTCTCTAAACGAGAGTCAGTTAAACAGTGAGCTTGTGATCACATCGCATCACTAGCGCTGCTTAGTGCACGGTATTCCCAGCTTTCCCATACTCGTCTCAGCTTTCCATCCATCCAGACAAATAAATTTATTGTAGGAATGGACCTGGAATCCGGCGAGCTAAACCTCGATGGAAAAGATTCGTCACACCTTTATTTTTCAAGGCGTATTTTTAATATACGAGTATTAAAATTATATATACCAAAACAGTTCCTTGTGAAATACTTTTCGAACGCGATTTGAAATTAGACACTCTCTCAACGAATGAAAGTAATTAACCCTAATGAAACTTTCGATATTGCTCATTATACTTGTTTAATTAAATTGTGTAGAAGTTTGGTTTTGGAAAAATGTTTAAACTTTTTTTTGGAAGAATTATCCCACAAAAAATATTTTGTTTTATTTACATTTATGGTAATTGGAAATAACATTTTTAATACAATGACCAGTTGTATTTGAAGATAAAACAACTGCGCTGGCTAAGACATTCCACAAGAGTAACAGTCCAACTAAAAATACATTGAAAACAATAAAATCAATAGAAAAACGCCAACGAGGAAGTCCTTCTATAAGATAATATGATCAAGTATTGAAAATCTGTTAGTTCTTGATATTTCTAACCGTTGTCAGCATACAAAAAATAGAGTCGTTTTCAGACGGAATTCTTCATAAACTCTCGAAGTCAATATACCATAAATCAATCCATTTTACTTTGGCGGCTAAAACTTATGTCTGATGCTATTAATCGCAGCACTAAATATAAATTTCATTGCTGCGTATCTAAGAAAGTGTGTGCTGGTGTGGATTATACATACAGAATGCTTTCCTATTTGAAAATTAATTCTATTTCGATAATCTTATTATTAAAATCAATACTTTAAGCAAAATGTATTTCATTTGATAGCTTTAAATTATAGCTTTAAATTTCTGAAATGTCGCGTTGTTACACTGAGTTGTTATTAATAACTCAAACTTGTACTCTTTAATGTACAAACAAACTTAAAAGGAATGATACGATCTTTCAATGAAAAGCAAAAATTAAATGTAAATATATTTTAAATTAGTTTTCAAATAATTTCTCTAAAAAGAATTATTCTTACCGAATGCACTCGATCGTAATTGCAATTGCCGCCCACACTAGTCGCTATTGTAGTTTCGCGAAAGCTGGATTGATCCCTTACGAATCCATTGTTGTAATAAACACTCTTGCGCTTTCCACAAAGTATATCCTTGAATGCCACTCGATATCGATGAGACATGACATTGTACAAAATCGGATTAATGGTGCTGAAAATATTTGAAATTAATTTAAATCAAATAAAACATCAATTATTGACTAAATCAACATATGTGGAGTGCCTTTATCTGTAACACAAGCTACATATAACTAAATTAGCTTTCAATTATTGACTACATTTTAACCTTGGGCAATAGGAATATCTTTGATGGTGCACATTAAATACAAATTTTATTGATTTTGAATAACTTTTGCAATATAATTGAGTTTCGGCTAAGATACTCCGAGCTACGATAGAAGTAAATTTGTACAAATAAATTTAATAAAAAGTTTTCTATATAACAAAAAGTAATGCACCAACATATTAACTTGCAAAAAGTTTCGACATGTAAACTTACCAAGAAATATAGTAGGCAAATCCGCCCACCGCAAATATCCATTCATTAACATCGTTATAGTTCTCATAGTTTTTGGCGTAAAGGAACCATAGACGCTGCAAATGAAATGGCAGCCAACAAACGAAAAAAGTTACAACAACGGCGGCTGAAAGCATAAAATATTTAAATTATTACAAACGAACAATACAATTTAGTAATTATTTAAATAAGAACAGAAAATTATACTACTTAATATTTCACGGAAAAAATACTAATTGTGGTATTAGATTTTATCTTCAAGGCAAAATGTGCCCAAACGATATAAGTAAAGGCTAAAGGATAAGGGCAAAGGATAAAGGATACTCCTTTGCCAATTAATGTTGCTCTATTTAGAAAATATGACTTCATACTCTGATCTCTGCTGTTTAATCAAAATTTAGATGATGTTTTCTTTAATCATGTTTATGCAGTAGCTATTGTATACACTTTACTGGCATTTAAACGGTAACTTTGAATGAAAATATAATTAATTTAACTTAAAAACTTTTTCCACTTAGAAAATTTCAAAGCAATTAATTTTTTGCATGAAACTGACCTACTCACAAAAGCACCACTTAAGGCGAAATTGTCCGTTGACGTAAAAATTAACTCCTGATTTTTAGTATCTTTCTTTTTTATATATACTCAATTTATTTTCCTTTAGTTATTTTTTTGGGGTTCCTTTTGTTATTGTGTGTCGTGAATACGAGATTTAGCTCAAGGATATACAAAATATTCAAATTGCTAACATAAAACGCCGGAAGTGTTCAATTTACAGCAAAGGATTAATTTTCAACAATATGGGATACTAGACAACATAGTTTGGAGCTTTTCAATGAGTTGTAAGTTAAAATCTTGTAAGCGCCTTAGAGCCACTTTTATCTTTAAATATCATAGGTTGAAGTAAATAGGATTTCCTTCCAAATAATTACATTTTTGTTTACTTTATTTTTCACACGTCACAGTTAAGTGAGAAAAAAAATAAATTATTTATATTTCTATTTCATAACAAGTGTTTTATATATCAAATTATTTTTGTTTCAATATTTAATAATATTTAAATTTACGTCACACGGTTCACAGCTGATTCCCTAACCATGCTGAAGGATTGAATCTCACTTTTAATCGTTACCGTCGCAATTGTGGATAGGACGATAAAAGTGCCCCGAATACTATCATTATTCTCTGGACTTTAAATTTACAATTTACTAACGATTCACAGCCGGTAACGATGGTTCACTGAACAGCTAGAAGATTGAATCTCCCTTTTAATCATTACTATCGAAAATGTAAAGAGGGCGATAAATGTGTTCAAATGCTATCATTATTTTCTTCAAATTTACAATTTACTAATGATTTACAGCCGATTAGCGAACTATGCTAGCAGATTGAATCTCCCTTTTAATCATTACTATCGATGTTGTGGAGAGGGTGATGAAAGCGCTTCCTATCTGCTTTGTTTTTGCCCAGTACACGCGACACACCTTTGTTAATCTTCCTTTTTTGAGGATCTTGGCCACCTCCAAGATCTAAAACGAAACAACAATTTAAGTTTCGTCAAAGTTTAAGGTGGTTTTTAAAGCTCTGACATGGTAACACAACGGGCCAATAGGCAAAAGTGCATCCTCTGACTCGCCAACATAACCATACCTAACCTACTTTCATAACAACAATTCTTAGTAAGTGGTTACTTCTAAAAAAAATTATACAGATTACGCAGCAGCTGATGTGTACACTTAATAGCACAGCACTTTTTGGATTAAACATTATTAGGAGACATAAGGACAGAGAGTAAGAGAGAAAGTGAAAGAGAGAGAGAGGAAAGAGGAAAGAGGAAGAGAGGGGTATGTAATTATACAGGTAAAACAAAACTAAAACATACACCAGTAAAATAATTTTTGTGCTTAATAATATCAAAAAGACCTTCGGGTTAATCATTAGACTTCAACACAGACGTCAAGTCTGAAAGATTCTCTTCAGAGATACAAATAATTATATATAATACATAAATAATTAATAAGTAACTACATAAATCTTGCTATTGGCAAGATGGGAATACGGTATAGAGGTATAGGATGCTTATGAATAATTTTCCACTTAAAACAGGTTAAAAGTAAAAATATTCCACTGAAATAATCCATAAAATATTGCGTAAATATCTATTATTCTAAAGATTGTTTTTTTTAATTGCCTGAGAACTATCAATATCGATAACAATAGGATTTGACAGCTGGGAATGTTAAATTGTGTTGTACAGTTATTGATCCTTTTCGAACTAATTTTACTCCTCTCAATTGAAAGCCAATACAAATGGATTATATGGTGCGGTTTACACTCTACCATTTCTTTCATGACATGAGTTCAAATAATAATAAAAATTAAATATAGCGTAGTATATCTCATAATTTTTAAAGCAAATCATTTTCTACCACGAATTGCATATGATAAAACTTATTTAAAGATTTTTGTGCCAGAATAGCTAAAATCTTACATGCGGTCTTCCGGTCGATCTTACAAAGATCTTTCGAAAGACCTTTAATGTAATTATTACATTCGAATATAACATAGTTAATAAAACTTTCACAGTAAATTGCAAAACGCCAAGTCAAGTATGGATTTGGGTCAGTTGTATCATAACACTGACTCTGAGCTTTAAATTTGGCAGGGTACAAGTGCTACCCTTGCTACTTGTAATTTGAAAAAAAATTATTTACGAATAATTAAATATAAGAAATAATTGCAAGACCACTGAAGATTGGTATTTGGCAATACCCGAAGTAATTGTATGGTCAAACGAAAATTCATTTAATTAAAAATATATAAAAATTTTGTTGCTACCATTCACTACTGTTCAAAACCTCTGTATTAAATACAATCGTTTCTATTAAGTAAAATAGTCACCACCATCTTAACTGGCAATAAAATCAAATTTAATATATATATATATATTATATATATATATTATATATATTTTTATATATATATATATAATATATATATATATATATATTTTTTTATACAAATTTTTTAGTTTGTCTCACTTATTATGTGCATTTTCAGAAAAATTGGATAAATTCAATTAACGTCAAAACTTCGAAGTGGTACCAGTAATAGTTGATAATACCAGAACATATGAAATGTCTGCATTCTGTAATAAAATTTATCCTCTCATGAATATGAAGGCTATATAAGAATATTTCTTAGGCTGTCAAAATGTGCGAATCTCAAAGCAATTTATTATCATTAAAAATTAAATTATATTTTCTTCAAAAAATTTCTTAGAAAATATTTTTATATACAATAACATTTAGTACATACACATTAGGTACATATCATGCAGTGATAAAGAAAAAACTAAAGTGCATAAATAAAATTTCCAAGAGATACCCAAATTCTGTGTATCTCAATCTCAGTTTTGACCATCTACTAAAAATGTGTGTTCATAAATTTAACTTTAATATCAAAAATTTTTTCACAAGTTTTTAGTAGTGCAAATTTATGTAGATTTTTATAAATAAAACATCGAAATCAAATTACTTTTTACGTAGCACAAATTTTTACGGCCCATGTTTACGTTAAAATATTACTTCAGATGCGAGTACCCATGAATTAGAAAAGTTGGTAGTACTGCCTTCGCCAATTTTTTTTAGCTTTTTTATTTTTCAAATTGAATTCCTGCAAATTTCATTTTGATACTTTAATCTTTAATGTGTTTTTTGTGCAGAGTTTTTGTGAAAAAATAATTTAATTGTTTATTAAATCAAGGTTTAAAATTTATTTAAGAAAAATGTTATTATTCGTTATTGTATTAGTCTTTATAAACTTATAAAGATATTTCTTATAATTAATTATTCATAAATAATAACTCCAAGACCATTGATGATGGGTCAAAGAGCCAAAAGGTCAACCAAAAATACAATTAATTAAAATTAATAAAAAAATTTTGTTATTGCAATTCACTACAGATCGAAGCATTCCTAATAAATTTAATAGTTCTACTAAGTAAAATAGTCACTACCGTCATATGTTAAGTGACGTTAAAATTAAATTTAATGTTAATTATTTATTTAATTAAATTATTAATTAAAAATACAAATAATTAAAGAACTTTAAATTTAGCAAATATCTGATTCAAAGAGTTTAGTAGATGATTTTATTGGACATAAAGCCAAACAAGTTTCGCGACGCTTAAAATAAAAATATTCAAAAATACGCAAATAATGTTGATGAGGGAACTAACAAAAATTGGCTACAAAAAAAATTTACAAAAATTATTTTAATTTCTATTAATTACTGTACATTTTTAAAGCCGGTTAAACCACTTTCTAAAGCAGTCTTTAAAATCAATTAGGTATACAACATTGAGATTAACTATACTAATTGTCTAATCATCACGGCTGAAGATCCTTCCTCTCCAATATTTTTACTTTTGGAAACAACTAGTAATCTCAAGACATTGGGTTTGGAAAATATATAGCTGGATAAATTTCATTGATCTCTGAGAGCATAATGAAGTTTTTCGGTTTCGGTTTTTCGGTAAGCTGGTACTTTCTACTGCTACAGAGAGTATTGACACAGTTTTCATTTTCTTTACTGGTTTCTAACAAATTTTCGCAAATCTGTGGTATGCAAGTCTTAGTGTACCATTCATTAGCTACCATCTGTTCAGTATTCAGAGAAACAACATCTACAATTTATCCCTTGCTAAAGTACATTAACCTCATCACTTTTGTTCGAGATGTGTGTTGCCTGCCTTCAATGGGTGGATTAGCGCCTATGCCTTCTATGCTGTATATCATGGCCTTTTGCTTTGATGTTGAATGCTGTTTGTTGAACCAAATTTTTATCAACTATTATAATTTTATTGAAGTAGCTGGACTCTCGATTTTCAAATTTTTTTCTCTTACTAAGTTTTACTTCAAATTTGAGGAACTCATCGTACCCATTTCTTTGGGTATCCATGATCATATTAAATATGTGCGATACAGGCATAATACTCAAACCTTGTTCATCAGTAATCATTTTATTGATCCATATTGGTTCTTTATCAATTTTTGGCTTCAGTGGAGTGGCGTTAACATCATCAGTTGAAGATTATGTGTCACCATTGTGAGCTTCGTCCTTCAT